TTAGCTTGGACACTTGTATATGGAGGATATGCTAGTTATTAGCCAATATAACCACAAACTCTAGGTGCAGAAGATGTTTGCTTAGTCTCTTATTCTAGCATGGTTTTAAACCTTTTCCTACTCCTTTGCCTCTATTTTTAGTAGTCAATCCACTAGCGTCACTCTTACAAATTCCTTTTGTACATTTCACAATCCTTTTTATCTCACTTTCACACTTGTCAAGTCACCACTGAGCCACCTTCTTTGTCATGGATTAACAATTATCACCTTATCAAAACCTTTAGAAACCACTTCTGAGTAATTGTATCAATTGTGTCACCCGCTATTACTTAATAACATACTACTATACCTTTTTGGTAGACAAAAATATGAAGATGACTTCATCGGCAAAGAAAATTTTCTTCGCTCAATTGTCTTTTATTTATTCATGATTATGCATTAAACCTTCTTGTGGACATATCAGTCAGACATCAACAAAAAATTCAAAGAGTTGAATGGACATAAGATTTCTAATTCCAGATGAATTTTCCACCAGTGATGCGGATTCCCAGTCACTGTGACCACATAATCAGAAACCAGGGAATATTAGATAGGCGTTTCACCCTAGTTTGGAAATCTCCAACAGTACGCAATCACCGGGATTCGAACCAGGACCTCCAGTGACAAGATGAGCGCGTCGACCATTGAACCACTAGGACAGAATTGTTGATTTTTGTCACGATTACTTCACCTTATCAAATATTTAAGGTATATTCACTCTTTATTTAGGCCTGCTAAGTGTTCACTGGACTTTTTTTTAATTTTATGGAGACATTATACACACTAACCTCACTGATCCCGTATATTTTCTACAAAGAATCGCACATATAGCCCTCCACTTTATTCTAATTTCATTTACAAGGGAACTAAGAAACGAAGGAAAGACCACATTCCAGGCTCATTTATCAGCAACAAAAATTGTAATCAGTTGTTTTATGCATACGGTATAATTGCATAGAAAATCAAGATATAGTACTGAACAACATGCAAATGAAATTATGAACTCTACATAAGTGGAAAAAGCATTCTATAAACTATTGCATTGTTGTATACAAATTAAAATAAGTTTAAGTGGCGTCAGAATAATGCAGCACCTAATTCAATTATCTACGCACATCTTACTACTTATAATACATTCAAGTGTTTGTAATTTAGACTTGAATACGTGTTAGGTTGGTATTTTGAGTACTCACCAACCATGCACGTGGTCCGGGGTTTGATTTTCAGTCGGTGCACTCCTATAACTCGCATAGCCAACAGTAAACCCAGTAAATAGGGAAGGCTGTGAGGCTGGCAACCCCAACACGTAAAAACAGACATCACAGCCACTGGAACTTCAAAAGTGAGGCCTGAATCCTTATGTTCCACCCAAAAAGCAAACGAATGGAACAACTAGGCGCCCGTTCGCAGTATTTCAATCTGTGACAAAGCATCCATTACAAATAGGATAACATGATAGGTAGCTCAAAGCAATAGTGGGAGCATAAGTTTATATTTACACATCTCTGATTGGTTTGACGGGAAATGTCTGCAGGTATGGCTACCGTCATACGTATGCTGTTTTAGAAACTGCGCAGTATTGAATATTTGTCTGATCTCAAGTTATGGGCATGTGTTAATGATTACTTACACGGCGAGTGCACAAATGGAATATACCATCTTAACATTACTTCAAATATGTGACCTCTCCTACATAAACAGCCAATGTGCAACAACTATGTTGCACAGTTCTACTAATGAAAACTCTGCATCTCATGAAGTCATTTTCTCAATTTGCTAACAAGTGTTTCGAATATTACGAGGAAGTTTTACCATCCTTATTGTTTTCCTAATGTGTGAATTAAGAACCGCAAACTTAGTAAAGTAAAAATAACAAATTAAGAGTTGGTGGGTTCTATATCTATGGTGATGGAAAACGCTGTATGATGGGGCAATGCCACAGTTCTTTTAACGACATTGCCATCTAAAAGAATAAGAGAAGAGATTAGTTGGAGTAGTTGTCATTTATGAGTCATGATACCCAAGACCTAGAAAAGAATTGGATTTCCAAAATACGAATTTTCCGCAACACAGTATTTTAAACAAATACCTGGGCTTTTTACAACGTTTCTGGTGAGGCGGTCACTAAAATCTTATTGGAGAGAACTTTATCTTTCAAAGATTCAAGCAAGAGTAGAGCTTGATAAATTTTAGTCTGTGATCCTTTAATTTCTACAATTAGGCTGTCCTCTTAACAGTAGTTCAAAAATTAATTCATTAGAAAATATAATTAAGTATAGAGATACGACGAGTGATTCTTTTCTAAGTGTATGTTTTTATAAAGCCTGAAAGCTATCTTAAACAAATCCAAGATTCTAATTTCCTTGAAATGAACCGGGAACACTACAGTCCGTTAGTTGTCATGTAGCTATTTCGAGAAACTTCTAGTATTTTGCGTGAGGAGACACTAAGATCACTCTCTGGCTTTGATTTTAGTGCGAATGTAACTCTTGAATAAGAAATGGCACAGACCTACTGCTTCAAACTATCATTATCCTGAATTTCTCCTGTATTAGCTAAGGTCGAACAGCCGACAGTCCATCTGTAGACATTATTATTGTCAAGAATATCTTAAAAGAAGAAGACATCCAAAGGCCATATACTTCCCAAGATCATTTGGACATAAATGTCTCAGACATTGGAGATGATAAATAACTTATAAAGATGACAAACAGCAGTAAGCCAAAAACAAATCTATGGTGCATCTGGAACAAATTTAACAAGGAGGAAAAACTTGACTGTGTTACTTCCTGTGGAAACAGTTCTTTATCCAACTCAGTAAATACCAGTGCTTAGTCGGTCTGTAGATGCAAGCTAGTACGCCAGATACGCAGACAAATTACTGTATATCGACTGGAATTAACACACCTCACAAAATCACACAAAAAAGAGAAAACGTAATGAAATTGCGATCGAGAAACTGGTGTAAGAGAGAGGACATACTGGTGAAGAGTAATAATGATTGAAAATGTCCTCCCCATTGTGAGTGATAAAGAAACTTGTGTCGCATTGGCTTAAGCACTCGACTTTCAGTCAATGAGTACCATCTCACCTGCTTCAGTATGGGCATGCAAAAAGTGTGCCTTATAGTTCATTACTCGGTAACTGAGATCTAACTAACACCAAACAGTCTCCAGTCAATGATCGTTAGTATCTCGAGGACTCCAACCAGGCAACCTGTACCTCCTAAGTGTCAGATCAATTCTATTTGTCACCCCTATTCTACTTCAGCTAACGGTGTTGGTTGAGGAACGTGTAAACTTGGCATATATAGCACATTCTGACCACATAGATCGATGAAGATTCACAACTCTATTGACCCTCACTTCTTTAACTAACACTCCGTTTCGTCTCAAAATCAATGGTGCCACTCCCTTTCTAAACATGTTCAATTAGTGCTCAAGGCTTTCAAAGAACATTTTGTCAGCATCCTCATTAAGCACTACATTAAGTGTGCGCTCTGTTAAGGAATGTTTTCTTTAGCGAAATGTTGATTACTTAGACATCAAAGTCGCATTCATAAGCCTGTCTATAAGAAAAATGATAATAAGAATTCATGTCACTTAGGACAACTCCAAGTAAACTCTTACATGGCTACAGCAATAATAGTATTTCGAATATCATAACCTTCGTAGTGTCTATAATCAAACATAGTTACAATACCTCCCAACCATAAAAGTCGAATGCTGCCTTGAGGCCTAAATAAATGGTGTTAGATGACATTATGTCGTTTCTCACCCGCGATCCGGATCTGAAACATTGTTGCCTCCTTCAGAAGTTTCTTTTGGAAGACCACACAAGTTTCACTCCTCTCGAACGCCGTCCCACCCATCATTGCTTCTCTAGAAAACAAACAACTACAACATATAGTCTAGGACTGGTGTCTTTTTATTTCTTTCACATCTTCCACTCACTACTCCCCCCAATTGTGGAGATATCTATAGAAATTTTTTTACAATTACAAACAGTCTGAAGCGGTTTCTATGCAACGATCAGTTCAAGAGAATAAGCTGATTCCGACTAACCTTGAGCTGCTTTGTATTGTCAGGCTAGTAGCCCTTGGTTATAAGAAACCAAACTTTCAACAGCTGAATGGCCAAGTAAGTGTGTAAATGCTTCGCAGTTGACTGTTTCTAGAGCCAATTAATCGCAGACATAATGACCGGTGAACAAAAGCTAAGCAGTAATTCACCTAGGGGTCTCAGAAGAAGCGGTAATATTACAAAACCCTTTCTGTGTAAAAAAGATGGTCTGTTCATCGTCGCCACGATATAAACAGTAACCAGGTGAAACAACACACATTGTAAAACACAATACAATACATTATTTAAATTATCAGTAGCCAGATCCAAGTGTTTTGAGAACAGTATTATGGGGGACAACCACAGCTGTTGGTCCACTTGAATAAAACTCTGGTTAATTTCTAATTTACCACACTACTTCAACATTAAATTATCATCTACATGGCAGTTTTACTTTCTGCAACAAACCAAAAGACTTCTGACAACACTCACTTCTTACTTTTTCTGAACTGCACTCATTTAGTACACAAGCGGAGACTGAAAAAGTATTACATTTGTTCGTCCCAACAGATGCATTATACCGGAGAGAACACAGAATGCCTAATAAATACAGATAAGCAGCGAGTGTGTTACTCTTGAGACGGAAATATTTCTACGAGCAATTCCACGACAATTAAACACAGGGTCCTCTGAAAACAATAACTTAAGTTCATTGGCCTCACTATATTGTTCGGCTGAAAACATGTGGACAACTACGCCTGGTTACCGCTTATGTAAATCAACAAAACATAAAAATCCCGATACCAGACTTTACAGTGAGGCATCTCCTTGAGAGGCAGAAGATTTCAACGTCAGACACCTCAAGTGCTAAGACAATAGGAATTCGTGGCTCGCTTAGATCGACACCAGTGGTTACAGTTATGAAACAAGGAAGGGATTAAACGAGATATAAATATCATGGAACTGATTCATTGATTCCACTGCTCAACATTCGACTACCCGACCTTGGGTGTGAACTACCCTCTACTAAAAATATTTCGCCAGATATTACTACCCTCATCATTGACAAATTCAGGTTGCTGCACGTGATTACCAAATAATGTTTCGTCTATCTTTTCAAAGAACTAAGACTGGTAATTCTGCCAACTCACGGTGATTGCAGAGAAAAAAATGATATTTAGCAAAAGTAATGACATTTTCAACGTTTACATAATATTACTGAAGTTATTAAATCACAAAAAAGGGAAAGACAAAAATATTACATAAAATAGCGGTTGACCGCTGCTGGGGGGCAAGTCTGTACACAAAACATTATAATCATCCACGTAACATAATGAAAATAAACTAAAAAGGAATGAATTCGGAAACTTTTATGCAGTTAAACTAGCTTGTTGCATTACTGGGTCTGGTCATAAAATACAGTATCAACACCAAACCCGCAACAATAGCAGCTAGAGTAGGAAGAACAATTCTTTTGACTTTGTCAGGTATTTCCTGCATATCTTTCCTCCGTTGCAGTTTGTCCTTTTTCGTCTCTTTAGTAGTACCACCCTTCAACTTCCTCATGGTAAGATATTAACTATGCACCGTCCAAATTTAAAATGCCACCTTATTACGTAGCACATACACTCTCAGATAGGTGATACGAGCATGAGACAACAATCAAACAACTACAACCATTGATAGATTGGGAGGATGGAAATCTTCGTTCGTTATCTCCATTGAGAACCATCTTACATGCGTATACAATAGGGCCTTAACCTGACAATGGTGATCATACAATATCTACATTAGGAGCCAGTGCAAGCCGAAGTGAGTAATTTTGTGTATGCTTCTTGATGGTCAGGGAGCGGTTCCTAGTCACTGGGTGGTTAATGCGTGGCCAACTCGGCTACAATTCTTCTATAGCTTTGATATTTGAATATTAGTTTGATATGAGGAGTACTTTTGGTCCACAATGTGGCATAACTGTGGTCCCTACTCTTGACATTCGTTTAGTATATTCGAAGATCACGGTTATAAAATCAATAAATAGGATGGTAAAAAGGGGAAGAAAGAAACGAATAGTTAAGTAAGTTATAATTGGCTAATGTCAAAAGAACAGGCTGTCTTGAATGGGTTTTGGAGGATCATAGGCACTTTCAAAACACTCGTTTGGGTCTTACACAATTTATCTTCTGCTTCTGGTGAACTGTTATTATTGCATATTTCCTTTATTGGATGATAGATACTGCAGATTGTCTTTCGTTGGTCCTTTCAGCGGCAGTGACACCTGGTTTTTTCACAAGTGCTTATTTCTTCGACATTTCTTATCAGTGGATGGTTACAATTTTTCCTGGTAGTGGCAGCGAAAGTGATTTCTGCCGACAGCAGCGGATGTAAAACTGTCAAAAAACTAAGTGAGACTTCGTTTTTCTTGTCTCCAAGAGACCATAAGTCTGTGTAGTGTGAAATTCATAGTATATTCAGTTTGGATGATTGTAAACAGTTCTACCACCCATTACTTCACGAATTGAAAGACTCCATATCACGGCAGATGATCAGCTGGAAGAAGCTAAATGTGGCTAAACAGAATATCGTTAAGCGATTACATACCTGAGGCCAGTATATGTACAACTAAATGCGGTATGAAGTGTTTAATACCCCTTTGATGGAGGAGGAGTTCACATACCACCAAGACACTTCTAGGTTAATTTTTCTTCGCAGCGGTGGATTACGTCAGCTATGAAGAACAATTGTAAATCTTATTTAACAAATAAGCGAAACAAAATACTAGTTAAAAGATTTGCAGTGCACATTGTACCTTTGAACTTTTGTTTAAACTGACTCACCCACGGTGATCCACGTTTTATCTTTTGAGTTGTGAGTCTTCCGTACGTTCATTGGTTCGCTCTCTTGTTGTGCTCTCTTTCTGCACACTCTCCGAGCCTACCTCCAGCAACGTCTGCAGCTAAGTTGTACAGTCACTTTATTTATTAAATCTGTTATTCAGTTACGTTAAATACAACTCATACTAAGAATTCTTTCCATTGTTAGCTTTTAAACTTTGATTGAGTTAATCAGTACTTACACGTTAGGTAGAGTACTGGTAAAGTCATAAGACGGTGAAGTTTTTAGTAAGTGTGGTGATATCGAAGACTATCTTAAGTCTAGCTTCAACACTTACAAGTGGTGAGCCCGTTTTCACCGTTTTCCGCCATAGTAGCTTAACGTGTTAACAATTCTTTTTACGTACCGTTTATTTTGTTATTTTTTTTCTTTCACGCACGGTTATAAAGATTTGATTTGTTTTCTTTGTACTTATATTGGTTTTTTTATCACCTTGTTAATATTGTGTCCTGTGTGCAAGATGGCTGACAACGGTTCTGCGTCAGAGATGGCTATAACGCTGCAACTCCCCGCCTTCTGGACACATCGTCCAGCTGCATGGTTTAATCATATAGAGGCTCAGTTTGCCATTAGACACATACACTCACAAGAGACCAAAGTAAACCACGTGATTGTGAGCCTACCCGAAAGTGTCATAGACGAGGTGGCTGACGTTCTCGCAGATCCGTCTCCGGATCGGTACGAGCGGCTCAAACAGGCGTTAATTCAACGAGTCGCACTTACTGACCAACAGAAAGTGCAGGAACTTTTCCGCGATGTTCAGTTAGGTGACCGCAAGCCCTCACAAATGTTGAGGCAGATGAAGCAGCTAGTGGCGGACTTTAAAATTGACGAGGTTTTTCTCAAACAACTTTGGCTTCAAAGATTACCTCAGGCAGTCCAGGGTATCTTAGCACCGATCTACAAGTACCCCTTACAGGAGATAGCCGAGGCAGCTGATAGAGCTGTGGAGGCCATCAATCCTAAAATTGGCATTTCCGCAACAGTAACTGCTGCTCCCGCTCAGACTAAAGATTCGTCTGACGGGGGGTCATCAAGCTTTGACGCGGTGGCCCATATAGCCAAGCTATACGAGGAGATCTGTAGTATACGACAGGAGATGAACTCCAGGAGTCGTGCACGCAGTCCCTCGAGTTCGCGTAGTAGTAGACCCTTGTCACGTGCTAGCAGCAAGCGCCGACAGTCCCGAAGTAACCAGCCTGGAGTGTGCTGGTATCATCGACGTTACGGAGCAAAAGCCCAAAAGTGCACTCGCCCGTGCACCTTCGATGTTCAACAATCGGGAAACTAGCAAGCCAGCACGTACTGGCGACTAACGTCGCTGGCGAACCACTCTCATGTCGCCTCTTCTATGTTACCGACCGTAACACTGGGATACGCTTCCTAATTGATACCGGAGCAGAGGTCAGTGTAATCCCACCCACAGTAGAGGAGCGCAGGCGGCCAATGTCTCTTCAACTACGAGCCGCAAACGGTTCGCCAATTGCTACGTTCGGCAGGCGCTTTATAGATCTTAACATCGGTTTGCGTCGTTCACTTCGTTGGGTCTTCCTGGTGGCAGACGTTACCACAGGTATAATTGGCATGGATCTATTGCAGCACTACCAATTACTGGTAGATACAGGTAATCATAAGTTAAGAGATCCTGTCACAAACCTCTCCGTCAGCGGTATCGTCACACAAGGCCCAGCCCTCAGCCCTGTATATGCCACACCCACTAGCACTGGTCCTTATTCGCATATACTGCAGTCTTTTTCAGATTTGTTCAAACCTAGCAGCGGCCTGCCATGTGCGACTTCCAACGTCACACACCATATTGTCACTACTGGCCCGCCAGTTTTCGCAAAGCCGAGGCGACTATCCCCAGAAAAACTAAAGGTTGTCAAAGCGGAGTTTGAGCATATGCTAGAAATGGGGATTATTAGGCCATCCAGCAGCCCGTGGTCCTCACCGTTGCACCTGGTACCTAAGAATAACGGTTTAGATTGGCGTCCTTGTGGCGACTACCGCAGACTAAACGCACAAACTGTTCCCGATCGCTACCCTGTCCCTCACATACACGATTTAACCGCCTCACTCAAGGGAGCTCGAGTATTCAGCAAACTGGACCTTACACGGGCTTACTACCAGATTCCCGTCGACCCCGAGGATATACCTAAGACTGCTGTGATTACACCGTTTGGCCTGTTCGAGTTTCTTCGAATGCCTTTTGGCTTACGGAACGCTGCCCAAACCTTCCAGCGTTTTATACATGACGTTTTGCGCGGGCTTGATTTCGCCTTTGCCTATCTGGACGATATCTTGGTAGCTAGTCCAGATGAAGCCACTCATCAACTTCATTTGCAGACAGTTTTCCAAAGACTTGTGACACACTCCCTCACACTCAACTTGCCGAAGTGTCAGATTGGAGTCACTTCCCTGAATTTTTTGGGACATAGGATAGACAAAGATGGAATTTATCCGTTACCTGACCGGGTAGAAGCTATTCAAAACTTCCCTCTACCCACTTCTCCCAAGGCACTACGCACTTTTCTCGGGATGGTTAGTTACTACCGTCGCTTTATCCCACAGTGTGCTCATATCGTGACCCCCTTGACTGATATGCTTAAAGGGAAATGCAAGTCTTTGGTGTTCACTAAGGAAGCCTCGACAGCTTTTGCAGCTATCAAGAAAGCTATTGCTGACGCCACAATGTTGGTCCATCTAGATGTTCAACTTCCAATCAGCATCTCCGTAGATGCCTCTAATACTGCGATCGGAGCCGTCCTACAACAGCGTATGGCTAATGTATGGCTACCGATTGCTTTCTTTTCACGTAAACTTACCGCATGCGAATCTCGATACAGCACATTCGGTAGGGAACTTCTCGCTGTCTACGCTGCTGTCAAGCATTTTCGTCACTTCGTGGAAGGCCGGCAATTTACGGTATTTACCGACCATAAGCCATTGACGTACGCCCTCCACACTACTTCAGACCGGTATTCACCGCGAGAATCACGCCATTTAGACTATATTTCCCAGTTCACTTCTGATATCCAGCACGTTTCTGGATCGGATAACGCGGTAGCAGACGCTTTGTCTCGCGTATGTGCTACGTCCGTACCACCAACCATCGATCTTCATAAAATGGCCGAACTCCAACTGAACGATTTGAACTTAGAACACCTGTCAAATAAAACCTCACTGAAGATAGAACGCGTCCCCTTGCTAAACAGTGAGGCAACTATACTTTGCGATATGTCAACTGGTACTCCTCGACCGATTGTTCCCACGTCTTTACGCCGAACTGTGTTTGAGTCACTCCACAACCTCTCCCATCCTGGCATACGAGCAACGGACAAGTTGATTTCTGCGAGATTTGCGTGGCCCGGTATGAACCGTGATGTGCGTCAATGGACACGTGCTTGTGTGCAATGCCAACGTGCTAAAGTCACCAAGCATAACATCACGCCGTTGGGGACGTTTGCGACCCCAGACGCTCGGTTCCATCATATCCACCTGGATATAGTAGGGCCTCTGCCCCCGTCTAACGGCTGCTCGTATTTACTCACATGTGTGGATCGTTTCACACGTTGGCCGGAAGCCATTCCGATACCAGATGTAACGGCTCAAACCGTCTGTCGTGCCTTCATGGAAGGCTGGGTTGCCCATTTTGGATGTCCCGCAACTGTCACTACCGACCGCGGACAACAATTCGAATCCACAAGCTTCAAAGAATTGTTAGAGATGCTGGGATGCAAACGCATTCGCACAACCGCGTATCATCCCGCG